CGAGATAATAATTTGATCTAAGTAAAAAATCCTTACAAGATAGAAAACAAAAAATAATATCCTTTTCGAAATCTGCATAGCTGAATTATGGAAAATCCGTTATTAAAACCAAAACAATTTTATGAAGTTTAACTTCGCAGCTTGTGTTATCTAAAGCCGAACTTCAGCTTCTATTTCTATTTTAGATAAATCTTACCCACCACCGACGTCTTCATTGGCAAGGCTTAGTACTGTTATATATAAAACGTTGATTAATTCGTAGTCTCCATGTTGTGGCCACCGCGGGGATCAAACCCGGGATATTAACATTATCCGCTCGCAAACTTACCACTGAGCCGGGCTATCTCTATTTTAGATAAATCTTACCCACCATCAACGTCTTCATTGTCAAGGTTTAGTACTTTTATATATAAAGTGTTGATTAATTCGTGGTCTCAATGTTGTGGTCTCCGCGGGGATCAAACCTGGGATGTTAATATTCACCGCTGAGCCAACAGGGATTGTTCCACGTGCTTTTAAAGACTCGAAACTCGAATTAATAGTTTTCATAGGCGAGTGGATTATGCCTTTCGCTTTGAAAAATGCTAACCAAAATGGCGTTGATTCGTGACGTTAGAAAAATACATAGATTCTAAACATCAATTAAAAGACAAAAATACGAAACCCTATGACCCGAGTTAACTTTGACGGCGCCCCCCAGTAGCACAGCGGTATGTCTGCGGACTTACAACGCTAGAAACCGGGTTTCGATACCCGTGGTGGGCAGAGCACAGATAGCCCATTGTGTAGCTTTGTGCTTAATTCCAAACAAAGAAAAAAAAACACTTTGACGGCAGTCAACAATTCAATCAGTTTTAATAACGTCTCACAATAATCATTCTGTAACTAACACCAGGCGTCTGCCTTGTTTATCATTTAGTACATGAAAAGATCCATTAAAGCTTAATCAAACAAAATCTTTCATTAGTTCTCAGTCGCTTCTTCACATTGTCAGAGTGAGGCTGATTTAATCCGAAACTTTATCCCATAAAAATAAGGAGTTTCCTGTTATTTATCTCGAGTCCAGGAAATATAAACCGTGGATGCAATAGCAATAAACTTTGACCTTGTATCACCAAGACCTTATCACGATCATTTGAATGTCATTAACATATATTTAGAAAGGTTGTTACCCCGCACACGCACGCGAGCGACTAGAGCCTCAACTCCCTCATCTTTAGAGAGTAAGAAAATGCCAATGCTAACAAATCGCTGATATAATCGATATAAAACACGCTGCTCCCTCGATAAAAATGTATAAATGAAATAATTTGGACTTAAAAATCAAATTGAAGACTTCCAGCAAAAATCTCATGTACTCCCTTCGAAATGGGTCACTGAAAGCTCTGATTTATTTTTCTTAACAAATTCTCGAAACGACATATTCTCAAATTATAAGAGTGTATAAAATGTTTAGGCTTATCTCAAATTTTCGATGAGAAAGGTGGCTTAATGAAATATTCAAACAATACGAACATCATTACTAGTTCTGATAATGGAATATTCAAACAATACGAACATCATTACTAGTTCTG